CCTGCCCTCCCTCCCCAGTCCCAGCAGCACCTGCTCAGCGTGCGGCTCCGGGTCACACCTTCTGCCCAGAGCCCCCAGAAGCACTGAAGAGGGGTCACCACCCAAAACGGCCGTGACATCTTTCCAGTCCTCCTGCGACGTGAGGCCCATTCGCTGAGTGTTTTGGAAGACGTGGAAGAAGCAGGCACCCAGCAAGAGACCCCAGCGGCAGCCCCTTTCCGCTCCCTTTCCCTTTCCTACTGGACAGTGGGCTTTGCAATCTCCATAAAGCATCAACTAGGACTGGGAATTTGAGACATTCCCAGCAAAACAGCTCAACGATAACCATTTGGGAATCTTTCCTGGGGTGGAAACATCCCTTCACTCTTTTGACCTTTGTGGGATTAAGTCAGCATGAACGCTACCACTTCTTTCTCCAGTCCCTTCCCTCTCTCTCTGCCAGGATGCACTATGGTGGATGTTATTTACTGACCGTTTTGTTTCTTCTAAAACCCAAATAAGGTGGCACTTATCCAAAGTTTTGCCCCGGTGCTATAACTTACAACCCAACACAAGACCTGCTCAAAGCCATGAGAGCCCCCAGAAATGAGCCGAGTTACTCATCATTTCTAATCAAGCAACACCCTGCCCTGCAGCTTTATCTCTCATGGCTCACCCTGAAGAGATTTCATCACTTCGATCCCTGGGGATTATGAACCCCTCAAAGCACAGGTCCTCAGAGCAAGCACAGCACGAGCAGGTCCCCTGAGCCCTCACCGAAGTGGCTGCATCTCTGCAGCAGCAGCACTGCCAAGGGAGAAGGGCAGCCACTCTCGCAGAAAGGCAACTGCTGGCTACGCTTCTCGCTGTTCTAAAGACTGAGGGAACTATTTTTAGTGCTGAAATAACGTTCTTCCTGCTCTGGTATTTCAAATCTTGTGTCATCCTGGACTAATAAACGGCTCCTCACAGCATTTGCTTTTTGCAGCCCCACAAAATCCAGAGATCTTGGCCAGGTTTTCCTTCTGCCTGCACCTGATGCTCCCCCATGGCACTGCCACACTATGGAGCTGCAGGCCAAGACAAGTGACTGCTGGGTATGACTTTCCTTGGGCAAGGAGTTGCTATTGCCCCCATGTCACCAAGATAGGCTCCAAAATCAGGTGCCTGGAAAAAAGGATGCTTGAAATATCTGAATTAACCCCAACCCTGACTGCAAGGCTTCTTGCAATAGCAGAAGTCAAGCAAGCTCACTTAAAAAATAACAGAGGGGAGATCTTTGAGTTCAGTAATCTCTGGATTTCAGCAGCAGAGGCTGAAGAAAACCTTCTGTCAAACAGGTGAGAAGTGACAGCACTCAGCCCCAGCCATTTTGGCCAGAAAGGAAAACACAGTGATTAATCAGAAACCGCCTTAGACACTTCACCTCTGCTGTCAGCCCAAGCTGGAAAGAACACAATGCAGCATATGGGATTTTAAAGCAATTTCATTTTTGGTAAACTCTGAGCATCTGAGACATTTTGTTCACAGCTCTTTTTTTGAGCAGATGGTGTCCCTTTGAGTGCTGGAAAATGCATGATGCTGACAGGCCCACCAAAGACCTCTCATAAATTAAAAAATCATGGCTTAAACGAAAGGGCACAGCCTGGGGCCAGCAAGCATGGAGCCCACCCAGTGCAGGATATAACAGAGGTGCTGGGAGGCACCAGCCATCAAAGGGTGGTGTTATGTGGGCCTGTGGGGATATTTCCTATAATCTCTTCTGCACAGGACACCAGTCCCATGGAGGAGCAGCCCCTCTCCCATGAACCTTGTCCTTCAGGATTCCTCCACCAACGGGGTGTAAGGAACTGAAGGAAGAAATGCCTCAAACATTCATCAACACAGAAAACCTCAAGGACAAGCTGTGGCCTTTGGATTAGTATAAGGAATGTCACCCAAGGAATCGGGAGTTTATGGAAGGATGCACCGCCCAGTGCTTGAAGCTGTATTGTCAAACTCCTTAGATGAGACTCAGAGGGGCAGACAAGGACTGAAAAAAACCCAAATGTTTATCAGTGTCTCCATCGTGCAGCCATTTGTGACTCTCCTGGGAGCCAGACACCATGCTTGCCTTGCCTTTGCCATTGAGGTGGTAACAAGAACTGGTAAGAGGGGATCATTTCTGGGTCACTGATAAGGTCTCTGGGAACAGAGGAAAAACCAAAGCTGGGCAATGACCACCAACTCAACTGGAACCCCTTCTCCACCTTTTTCCTCCTCTCTCATGGAAATGAATTTGTGGAATATCTGCCCCTCCTCATCTAGTATGCTAATCAGCTGATAAGATGAACTTTAAAGGGCAACAGAAACTTTTCTCTATGCACACCCACCACCCAGGATTCCTGGACCTGAGACAACGCTGGATCCAGGGGTGATGATCCAGATTGCTTTGGCTTGATTTGAATTCCCTTCCCTTCCCTTCCCTTCCCTTCCCTTCCCTTCCCTTCCCCTCTCTCCCCTCCCCTCCCCTTCCCTTCCCTTCCCTTCCCTTCCCTTCCCTTCCCTTCCCTTCCCTTCCCTTCCCTTCCCTTCCCTTCCCTTCCCTTCCCTTCCCTTCCCTTCCCTTCCCTTCCCTTCCCTTCCCTTCCCTTCCCTTCCCTTCCCTTCCCTTCCCTTCCCTTCCCTTCCCTTCCCTTCCCTTCCCTTCCCTTCCCTTCCCTTCCCTTCCCTTCCCTTCCCTTCCCTTCCCTTCCCTTCCCTTCCCTTCCCTTCCCTTCCCTTCCCTTCCCTTCCCTTCCCTTCCCTTCCCTTCCCTTCCCTTCCCTTCCCTTCCCTTCCCTTCCCTTCCCTTCCCTTCCCTTCCCTTCCCTTCCCTTCCCTTCCCTTCCCTTCCCTTCCCTTCCCTTCCCTTCCCTTCCCTTCCCTTCCCTTCCCTTCCCTTCCCTTCCCTTCCCTTCCCTTCCCTTCCCTTCCCTTCCCTTCCCTTCCCTTCCCTTCCCTTCCCTTCCCTTCCCTTCCCTTCCCTTCCCTTCCCTTCCCTTCCCTTCCCTTCCCTTCCCTTCCCTTCCCTTCCCTTCCCTTCCCTTCCCTTCCCTTCCCTTCCCTTCCCTTCCCTTCCCTTCCCTTCCCTTCCCTTCCCTTCCCTTCCCTTCCCTTCCCTTCCCTTCCCTTCCCTTCCCTTCCCTTCCCTTCCCTTCCCTTCCCTTCCCTTCCCTTCCCTTCCCTTCCCTTCCCTTCCCTTCCCTTCCCTTCCCTTCCCTTCCCTTCCCTTCCCTTCCCTTCCCTTCCCTTCCCTTCCCTTCCCTTCCCTTCCCTTCCCTTCCCTTCCCTTCCCTTCCCTTCCCTTCCCTTCCCTTCCCTTCCCTTCCCTTCCCTTCCCTTCCCTTCCCTTCCCTTCCCTTCCCTTCCCTTCCCTTCCCTTCCCTTCCCTTCCCTTCCCTTCCCTTCCCTTCCCTTCCCTTCCCTTCCCTTCCCTTCCCTTCCCTTCCCTTCCCTTCCCTTCCCTTCCCTTCCCTTCCCTTCCCTTCTCTCCCCTCCCCTCCCCTTCCCTCCCCTCCCTCCCCTTCATCTTTCTTACAGATTTATAAGAGACCACATTGCTTATTATCCTTTTCCAAGTTTAAATTGTTCTCTACTGTGAGTAAAACATTTTAAAGGGTTGTTTGGTGTCGTTTCACCTTAATTTAACCCGAGGGGATCACAGAACCATTGCAACTCTCTGGGCTTCCAGTTTGGGTTGTGATGGGGGGAGAGAGAGGGAGGTAGGGCACATGAGCATGTAGCTTTTGAACCACATCCCACAACAACACATCCCTCCCAGTGATGTTGCACATCTCAAAGCCTGATGCAAACTCACCTTGACCTGTTGAAAGAGCCTTTCCTTTCATGTCTCCAACAATGCTGCCTTGGCAAAGAGGAGTAGCCACAGGTACGTTCCCCCATCTCGTTTGGGGTTACGCCTGGCTTCCCCAGGGGTGGGTGTGCCAGAGGCTGACACTGAGGTCTCTCCCCGCTCAGCCTACATCTTCAAGGTGCAACGACACGGGTGCCCAGATGTGACAACGCTCCTGGGATGCTGAGAGCAGCGTGTGACTTCCCTGCCCCAGTACTCACTGAGTTTTCCTGCTGGGCCACTGCAACCCACGGGGGATCTGCCTTGAAATTCATCTGGCCCAGAAAGGGGACCTGCTCCAACGCAAGCAAATATTCAAAATTATGGCTTTGTTTTGCTGTCTGTTAATTCCTATTTCCTCCACCTGATGTCTTACAGCACATGCATGTTCCTCCTCCAAATTTCGCCACTTCGGTGTTCTTCATGGAGCCCAAACTGTGCACCATCTCCACACCTGCTTTCTTCCAGCGACAGAGAAGTGGGAAGGCTGGGCCCCCATGTCCTGACATGAAGTAGGATCAGGCCTCAAAGATATTTTATTTTCCATGTAAAAGAGAGGACTACGACAGAGCTAACCCTTGCCCTTGCAGACCTCACTTGTGGCTCAGCAAGAAACAAAGCAACCTGATTCCCCTCTAATTACAGTAGTCTCCAGGGTGACATTACCACCAAAGATCAGCTACTGTTTTACTGGGCTGTTTTTTTGGGGGGTGAAAGGTATGCAGAGGCAAGGAAAACAGAAAAAGGGAATTGCTTTGAGTTTGCTTTCATTCCTGGGAAATATATGTCTTCTGCAAATAGATTTACCACCTGGTTTTCCTGTTCTGATCCTTTATGCTCCAAAGCTGGTGCAAGGCCTGGCAAGAAACGTCACCCAGTCAGAAATGGGAGCAGTGGGGGAAAGGGGCCAGGGATCGCTCAACAGCAGCCATCAGAGCTGCTCCATACCCTGGTGCATGGGCTAAATACAGTGCCTAAGCAACTGTTTCTCAGCTTAAGTGTTAACCCTCATTTCATTAGCCAAATCATCTCTCATCAAAGCCATCTGTTCTTTTATCCAGCTTTTAAAATATTGTGATAGACTTCGTTCCTCCAAATGCCCTGCTGCTAAACAGACACCATCTGAGCGTGCGCACCCTTGGCTCGGCATTAACATTTGTGCTCAGAATTTGCTGCAGAGGCAGTCACCTGCAAAGTGCTCTCTCTCACTCTAAGAAATATGCCCAGATCCGGCCCTGTGAGATGAGGCACTCCCTCTTCCTATCTCACCCACCTGATCCCAACTGAGAAAAATTCACTTGGATTTGTGATTGGAGCAGCAAATTGAAGTGACCTGCCCCATCTCTCTGCAAGAAAGTGACACCATTTAAGTGGTAGTAAAGGAAATGAAGAAAATGGATTTTTTTTTTTTCATAAAAAGAGAAATCCAAACAATTACATGAGATAAACAGCACTTGCCTGTGAGATGGTCAGGGTCCAAACTCTGGGAAGGAAACCCTGAGGTGCTGGTGTGTGTGGATGAGAGCTGCAGGCTGGTGTGCCCTGGCCACAATGGGTGTGTGTTCTGGCCTGGCAGGAGGACAGTCCTATATGAAGCACAGAAAACACGGTAAAAAAGACAATTTTTCTGAGAATAATGAGATTTAGTAAAATAATGATTTCCCATTATTATGGTATAAACACTAATGGAATTATGCCATCCACTGAGGTTAGGCATTACTGCACAGGGATGGTAACCACTGTTTCACCTACAGTTTTTATCTGTGCTGCTCACTGGAGCTTTTCTCCTGGGCATCTTCCAAGACCCGCAAAAGGGGATTTTCTTTTCTTTTTTTTTTTTTTTTTTTTTTTTTTTTTTTTTTTTTTGTCCTGCTTGAAGGGTTTGCTGCTTATCTGCTTCTCTTGGGCAGTAGATTTATCTTTACAGATGCATCTGGTGGGGGGCAGGGCCCCACTTTTACCTTTTCTCCCTGCCCTTTTGGCTTTAACCTCAGCTTGGCCATGGCAAGTGCAAGAAGCGGGGTGGGCCAGCAGCACCACTCCCGGCACAGGGTTGCAAACCGTTCACCTCCCTGGGACTCGCTATGGCTGCCACCAAAGCCAGCAGGACAGGGTGGGTATGGCAGCAGCCAGGGTGCAGGGTGGCTGGACAAGCCTACTGGGGTCAGCTGGCTGCAGATTTGCAAAACCAGGGTGGGAATTCTGCTATTGTTTTCTCAGAAAAAGCCTATATCAGGGTTTAACTCTCCAGGAAGCAGGACAGCAGGAGATGCACTCAGTAAACACAATGCGCCCCATATGCGAAGGGTGGTTTAAACAGCAAAAGCCTCCAAACTATCCAGTGAGCAGCTCTGCCCATGAGGGCACCCGCGTCTCCTCCACAAACTCAGCACTTCACTAGGTTTCACAGAATCATCTGGGTTGGAAAAGCCATTGTGGATCCCCCAGTCCAACTGTGACCCTCACCCTGACCGTTCCCAACTCCACCAGATCCCTCAGCGCTGGGTCAACCGAACTCTTCAACCCCTCCAGGGATCCCGGGGACTCCCCCCCTGCCCTGGGCAGCCCATTCCAACACCCAATAGCCCCTTCTGCAAAGAAATCCTTCCTAAGAGGCACTTTCCCTGGAAAGGGAAGTTTCAGGGGGTTTGCCTTCCCCCCCCCCCATTCACCCCTGTCTAGCGGGGCTAGTGTTGCTGGATATGCGCCCCTGGATGTCAGAGGTTTCAGCTCCCAGACTGGGCACCACTGAAGCAGAGCCACTGTGGGAGCTGTGGCACACAGGTCCATGTTAGCAAATGCCTCCTTTCCCTCTGGGCGCTACTTTCCATTTTCCTTTTCATTCTTCTTTTAAGAGAAGATCTTAAGGGAAGTTGTACCTTGATTCACAGAAGCTATGCCTGCCCTGGGACTTGGCACAATGCCTGAAGGAGGATTTCAGCTGGAAAGCTGGTGGCGGTCATCACATGCAAATACCTCTTGTTCTCAGTCTTACGTGGTGTTATTCCTGAGTTCAACTTGCTGAGAACAGGGTTAGAGACAACAAGATCAGGCACTGTCAGACCACCAGGTCTTTGAGAAGCTTGACAGTCACTGTATCCTTGGTTTAGCCTACTTGCAAGTTGTGAAGGGAGATAGGGATGTACACATCATCCAGGGTCACCAACCACCTCCCTTACACCCCTGTACCCCCCCCAGCAATCCCCCACTTTCACCAGGTATTTTTAAACTGGCCCAAAGCTGACCACACCTTTTTCCATCCCAGGCCCCATGCTAAAGCTCTGCATCCAAGTGCCAAAAGGCTGAGTGAAGTTTTAGTGCTGCCATGCAGGACCCCAGCACAGAATTCAGCCCGAGGGCACAGAGCAGAACTGCCACCAGCTTTCTGGAGCACAGCAGTGTGGCTGCTGGGCAGGAGGTGGCACAGATGTCTGCTCTGCTTTGCTGCTTTTCAGGCACTGAAAATCCTGACACATTTCTTTAGAGCCAGCATTTGCGCTCTCACTGCAGCCCTTCTTGAGTCATAACTCCAGCACCAGGTTTTGCTGATGCGTACCCCCCACTCCGGGGGATTACCCGAACGCAGCCCAACCCAGAGATGGGTTAGATGGAGCCTGGAAGCTCCTCTGTAGTCAGCTATCACAAACTTGGCCTCAAATCGCATCCCGACATTGTGTTTATACGCAGCCTTGATGGGTTTTTTTCAATGTTCGCATAGCCACATACACACTGTAAGTTACAGCTGGAATCCTCTTTTACTGATTGTGCCAGGTCCTAGGACAGGCGTAGTGTTTCTTCAAGCCACCAACTACCAAAAAATAGGGGACCTGCTCAGGGGTTTCTGCTGTGGAAGGAACACACGACTCCTGAGTCAACATTGCATTTCTTAAGGGCCCCACCAGTTCTGGGAAAGGCATCAAAAAATATCCAGTCCCTGCTCTGTGACAAAGCTGAGAGCCTGGAAACAGTGCAACACTACATGGGGCAGCGTACAAATACCTCTTCTTCCCAGTCCTATGAGGCAACGGAGCTGGTGCAGGATCTGGAGCACAGGTCTGATGGGGAGCGGCTGAGGGAACTGGGGGGGTTTAGTCTGGAGAAGGAGACTGAAGGGAGACCTCATGTCCCTCTACAGCTCCCTGACAGGAGGGTGCAGAGAGGGGGGATAAGCCTCTTCAACCAAGGAACCAGCGCTGGGCCCCGAGGGAATGGCCTCAAGCTTCCCAGGGCAGGGTCAGGCTGGCTCTGAGGAAGGATTTCTTTACAGAAGGGGCTGTTGGGCGTTGGAATGGGCTGCCCAGGGCAGGGGGGAATCCCCGGGATCCCTGGAGGGGTTGAAGAGTCGGGGTGACCCAGCGCTGAGGGATCTGGTGGAATTGGGAACCGTCAGGGTGAGGTTCATGGTTGGGCTGGAGGAGCTTCATGGTATTTTCCAACTGTGATGATCCTGTGATTCTGTGGAGCAACAGTGCTGTCTTTCTAACCAGCACATCAGAAACTCTCAGCCCATTTCCAACCCCTCCCCCCGGCACTGTAGAGGATGGGGGGTAGATGTCTCCTACTCGCATGTGTGTAATTCCATCTCCGTCAAACGGCCACAAGTCCAGATCAATGCACATCAAACACAAATTCTGGCTTACCCATGTCTTCAGGCACATCTCAGCAGAAATAAGGAGAATTTACAGCAGAATCTATACAAAACACTTAATATTTACATTCAAAGCATTCTCCTGCAATCACACTAGGCTGATATTTTGCTATTAAAGTGGGATTTTCACATGTGAGAACTTACCCCAGTCTCCTTTCAAGCTTACATCAGCTTGAATTTCCTTTTCCCCCCTATCAGCTTGACCAGTAAGCCTGAAGTAATGAAATCTCTTGACGCCCTTCCGTTTGACAACATTCTTCTTCCACTGATGAGGAAACCAGAAATGCTGAGGGAGTAGGTATTTTGGAAATGCCACACCAAGTGACTAGCTGGAAATGCCAAGCAAAACACTGCTGTAATTCTGGTGTGTGATGCACAAAGCCTTTCGCTTTGGGAGACATTTCAAAATAAAACCACAGCAGCTAGTCTAACTCATAACTTTATTGTAAATCACTCAAGAGTTTACACATCATTAATGGCAAAATAACACTGTTAAAACACCTGCTGGATGAAATACAGAATAAGGACAACTCTTTTATATTATATGGCATCATTTAAAAACCAAGAAACGGAACAAAGTAGAAACCATTTTAGTTGTGGGTTTGTTTGTTTTGTTTTTTTTTTTCCAGTTCTACATCTTTGCTGAAAATATCTGGGCCTGAGTCTCAGTTATCTCAAGATCTCTGCCTTGCCCAGGTTATGGGGCTGCACAGCTGGAAAACGGGCACTCCTCTCCAAGGGGCAAGGTGGTGATCTTTATAAATGAAAATCATGCCCTCTATCTTCAAAAGTGCTCCAGTGCTGACAGTACAAAGCCTCTCTCATGCACTGGCTAACATCTAACACAAACAGCTATATATCCCATTAATTCCACATGCCTTTTTTTTACATTTTTTTTCTCTTTTTTTTTTTTTTTAACAAGGCAACTGTTAAAATTCAGACACTACGTAACTGTCTTTATATTTTGCTCAGAAACCAATGGATGTTGCATGCAGCTGAAATACTGGTAGAGACTCAGACTTCAATAAAGGTCAGTTTTCTAAGATATGCTAGTCAAAGGCAGAAAAAGAAATTAAGAGGCCTCTTGTGCAAAAGGAGCTAAAATATGCATGCATTGATGGCCATGACCAATTAGAATATAACTTAGGTCCCCAAACATTGAAACTGAAGCTTTATTTGGCTTAAGACATGGTTGAGCTCTGTACCTTTACAGTTTACAATGCAACAATAAAGGAATCATCTAAACACAGCATCAGTTGGTGTTTTGGCCTGTATAGAGACTAATCTTCAACACAAAAGCCTGCTCAGCAATAAATGGTTTTCATATGTAGCAAAGACAGCAGCGCACTGGGCTGGCTAACAGGGCTAACAAAAAGAAGAAAGCAGGTTTTCAAACTAACATCTAACTGAATTTAGGCCAATTTTTCCCCTTGGACAACCTGTTTTTCATCAGGGCTGTTACTGTCCTTTCTGTTAGTCTGTAGTTGAAACAACACATTGGGCCGTGCCCCATCCCCTCCAAGAGAGGCATCTCAAAAGCATTATTTGATTAATAGTAGAAACAAAAATCTCCCCTAACTGTACTTGGAAAGGATAGTTAGTTCCTCCAACCTGCCAACATTTCCCATGAATGAGCAAATTACAATGTATTTCAGACATGAACTACAGTGACTAAAATCAAATCTCTCTTCTGTTTAACTATAATATTAAATAATATGTAACATTTTTACACTTAATAGTCTGAAGTTTAGACATAAGACAGCTAATAAGGAAAAAAAAGCTGGGGCCAAATCTGTTCCTGGGGAAATAATTCAGCCCAACTGATCTGAGAAAAAAATTAAAAAAAAAAAAAAATCTAGTTTTACCCAGAGAAAATAAATTCACCACAGGCATGGGGGTGGGCGCACAACCACCCACCCCCAGGTATGACAGTGCTGGCCCAGTAAAGCATTACTTTTCAAGCACTGCCATCTCCAGTCCTTTCCTTGCGAGACTGGATCACCTCCTTCGGAACCTGCCTGCGGTCAGTGACCAACCCCAACCAAAACATGAAGTCAATGAACCAGGTGGTCGGGTTGAACTTCAGGCCCAGCTCGCTGGCCGAGTAGTCAAATGGGAAGGTGTGGTGGTAGTTGTGGAAACCCTCACCTGAAAAACAGAGAGTGAGTTTCAAGACCATGCGGCCAACATATTTATGAACTTAGGAACACGCTCGGGTGAGACATCCCAACGCCCATTTCCCCAGTCCTGAATCCAGTGCAGGCTGTGGTCCACCCCGGCTATAGGAGACCTCTGGGGCAGACGACGACAAACTCCATTTCAGTGCTTTGGATTTTCCTCCTCAGTAGGAAAAGGCATCTCCCACCCCTTATGCTCATGGAAGAAAATCATAAGTGCTTCAAGATGGGAGAGGCATAGACAAATAAGAAGCAGAAGCACCAACTTCTGCTGCACTGTCCCTAGCTGACTGCTGAGAAGAAAGGATTGCTACTGTGAACATGTTTCTGCCCAGAGATACATGGCATTATTTCAATGCAGGCACCATCAGTGGAATAAGGAAGCCTTCCTCTAGGATGCGCAAGCTCCGGCCTCCTCCAAGCCCTGGTTCCGAGTGGTGTCCAGTTGTAAGTGCCCAAAGTCCCAACCGGGGTGAAACAGGCTGGGATGTTGCTCTGAGTTTGCGAAGCTCTACCCGGGGCTACAGCACTTACCGATGGCTCCCACAGTGACAAGGGTGTTCTGCCTGGGGCTGATGTACTTGTCATAAGGGCGGTTGCCGTACATGTGAGCAGCGCTGTTGACCAGCCAGGCGACGTTGAGGGAGATGGTGTACCGTAGGATGGAGGCAAGGAAGTAGGCGTTCCACAGGCTCTCACCCCAGACGTACCATGGCACAAAGGTAGGGATCACAAAGCACATCAGCACAACTGAACTCTTGTAATACCTGTGGGGAAAGAAAAGGACACTGTTACCATGGTGGGAATGGCAGCCAGGTGAAATGGGGTTGGATCTCTGGAGACACAGCTCTGCCAGAAAGCCCTGGCATAATCTGGGCTGGCCCCATCACTGGAGCAGCAGGGAACATCTCAGCCATCCACAGTCACAGAACCATCTCAGTTGGAAAAGCCCTTGAAGCTCCTCCAGTCCAACCATGAACCTCACCCTGACCATTCCCAACTCCACCAGATCCCTCAGCGCTGGGTCAACCCGACTCTTCAACCCCTCCAGGGATGGGGACTCCCCCCCTGCCCTGGGCAGCCCATTCCAACGCCCAACAGCCCCTTCTGCAAAGAAATCCTTCCTCAGAGCCAGCCTGACCCTGTCCTGGTGCAGCTTGAGGCCATTCCCTCTGGGCCCAGTGCTGGTTCCTTGGTTGAAGAGGCTTATCCCCCCTCTCTGCACCCTCCTGTCAGGGAGCTGTAGAGGGCCATGAGGTCTCCCCTCAGCCTCCTCTTCTCCAGACTAAACCTCCCCAGTTCCCTCAGCCACTCCTTGTAAGACATGTGCATGATATAATTTTGCCAAGTGCAATTCAAAATGCCAAGACAACTCTAAACCCCGAAGCAGCAGGTAATGCTGGAGTTGAACTGACGAGACCCAGTCCCAAAGCAAACCTCCCAAGCTGAGCACCTTTAAAACCCAGGGAGGCACAGATTTGGCTGCACACCCTGCACCTAGGGTCCAGCTCTGGAACTGGAAAAGCTCAGGGATTGGCATGGCACCGGTGGTGCTGTGTCAGAAGCATGTTCACTGCTAAGAGCTGGCAAAGATTTCACCCGTGCTAAGATCAGAAGGGAACTTGCAATGTAGGGCAGGAGCAGCTCCTTTCCATACCACTGCTGCTGCGTGAGCTCCAACAGTGGTGACAGACCATGGGCACCCCTCCAAGAGTAAGAAAGATGTGTCCTGGCCTAGGGGCCACGGTTACTGCTTCTCTCACAGCCCACTGTCTGGCTCAAGCCTTGCCATATATTGGAGAAAATCAGTGTTAAGTGCAAAATAGGGAAGGAGGAAGCCAAACAGTCTGAGAACAAACAGAAAAGCTTTATAGTACAGCTAAAGCCACATGCCCAGGAAAAGGCAGGGAAGAGAAGAGCATAGAATGCAGGGAGCACAGAAGTGAAGAGCAGAGACCACAGAGGGAGAAAATAAAGAGAAAAGTCATGCTGGGGCAATTAATCCAAGGCAAGTGGAGAAAGGGAGCAGCTCAGCAAGAAGTGAGGAGACAAAGCCAGAAGCAAGACAGGAAATAAATGACTAAATGGAGAACAGGCTAATGGCGCTAAGAAGCAGAGAGCGGCAAGACAGTGCAGCTCGGGAGCCACCCATGGTGTGTCCCCAGCTCAAGAGGAAACAAGGGCTCATCTTCCCTGTGGAGCCCTTCCACCTCCCCAAAGCCCAGATTTACCACAGCCCACAGCAATCCCCGGGTATCATCATCAAAGCAAGCTGACACATGAAACTGGAGCGGTGGGCTGAGGTGACAGGATTTTGAAGGGTGCAGAAAGAAAAAGAAACATGAAGTAAGCCCCATCTTATTTGTGCCCATATGACAGGTTTAAAATAGACCCCTGCTTCTGTCGAGTTTTCTGGAAGGGATAAGGAAGAACAGAGTTTGGATTTATTAAACAGTTATTAAAAGTTTCCATTTGCTGAAAGTTTTTCAGATAGGAAGAATGGTAATTTGGTTTAACAAAAACAAACAATCAAATTTCAATTCAAACCCACAGGATTAGCAAAATGTTAGTATTATCAGTATTTTTGGAAGGAAGAAAGTTTCCATGAGCATAGTTCTCATCTATAACTTACCAACTAGCTTTGATCATCTTGTGTATGAAATAAATGAACGTGCAAGTTCTTTGTTTGATATTTTTGTTTAGAGGGTGTGCCTCACATGCTGGGCTCCAGAAAGATCTGCAGCAATCCAGCAACACCAACCATGGTGACAACAGAGTATCTCCTCAGCTCTCTCACAGAACTCTACCTTCACTTACCTGAGCCAAGGCTCTCCAAAGGAAACAGTCCCCATTCTTTGTTCCACCAAAGATAACATAATTTCCCACTCATTTGTCTGAACTTTGAACCAGGCTGCAGATAAGGTTTGCAAACCTCATCAATTCAAGGCCAGGATTTAAGTAGAGCTGGAGGAGAAAAATATTTTCCAGTCCAGAAAACTCCTTCAAAGTTCAAAGCCTCTCCTGCTTCAGGAAAATAAAATAAAATATGAAAACAGCTTAGCAGGCACCAGTCAAAACCACTCTGTGAGATAGAAGCAGCCCAGACTGAAGTCTTTGATGGAGACAGGCGATCTCACATTCAGACAAGTACCCGACTAAGTTTTCTCCATCTCCCTTCGACTGAAACATCCACCCTGGAATGAGAAACCTCCTTACCTGGAGTTCAGGGGAACCAGTGCCTCAGTACATGCTTGGGAAACAGTGCTGCCTTCACATGAACACTTTGTCATGAAGATAGGGCACCTGCGTGCCTCTCTCACATCATATCACATGCAGGATTATTGCTCTGTTATTCACAATTCTGCTGTCCATCAATGCCTGGAGCAGTACTGTGATTTCAGCTGAAGTGATGTGGTTGGGTTGAGTGGCACCTCATCCACAGCTCACCAGCATCACTAAACTCAGCAAAGCTAACAGTCTGGCCTTAAAACAAAACATGACAAAGAAGGGTTTATTATGATTCTTACTGATCTGACCTGCCAGGTTTTCCATGCTGTCAACAAACCCAACAATTCAACCTTATAGAAAGGAGAAACCTGCATTTTCCTTCCCAAATAAGGGAAGGTAAAGCCCAAAGTCCTAAATTCAAATCCAGAGCAGTTTTGCTAAGGTACAGCTTCCCAGAAGAAAACATACTTCTTCACTATGCAACATTTGCAGCATAATGAAAGCAGCAGAGCCTCTTTCTCATGGGATGCTATTGTCTGGGAAAAGGTAATAGCACAACCAAGAGGAGCTGCAGCAAACTGAAAAGGAGCCTTTGCAAACAGGCCCTGCCAACTGAGGAACCAAGCAAAGCAACAATATGCGTCTCCTGGTTTCAGCTGGGACAGAGTTAATTTTTCTTCTTAATATCTAGAATAGGGCTGTGTTTTGGATTCAGTACGGGATTTAGTATGAGAAGAATGTTGATAACACACTGCTGTTTTCAGCTGTTGATGAGAGATCAAGGACTCTCCAACTCCCCATGTCCTGTTTGCGCGCAGGGGTACAAGAAACTGGGAGGGAGCATAGCCAGAGCAACGGACCCAAATTGAACAATTCCATATCACATAACATCATGCCCAGTATATAAAGGAGGGCTGGCTGGGAAGGAGATGGATTCTTTCTTGCTTCTGGGATTGCAATTGTGGGATCTTGGTATTTTGGGATCACTGGCCCAGAGCGGGCTGGGTATCGGTCGATGGATGGTGAGCAGTCGCATTGTGCATTACCCATTCATACTTTCTATTATTGCTATTGCTTTATTTTATTACAACTATTAAACTGTTTTTATCTCAAACTACGAGTCTCCTTACCTTTACCCCTCCAATTCAGCGAGCAGCTGCGCGGTGTGTGGCTGCCATCTGGGTTTAAACCATGACAAGATGGAAGGCACTGAATTCCTCACTCCTGGATGCAGGGGTAATTCTGCTAGTGCATGGATTTCTCTAATGTAAAAAAAGCAACTGATTTCTGGACTCAACTGACTGCTCCCCTCACCCATAAAATGCTCAGAAATAAGCTTATGTGGTTTGCTGAAGTACCTGAATGAAATGCTTGCAGGCAGAGACAGCCCCCTTGTGCCTAAAATACAGGTATTTGCATAGAAGACAAAGCATGTTGCTTGGTTTCCACCTCTTGCAGAGTGTGTAGCAAACCAAACTAGGTCTGTGCTAATTCTCAAGGGAGATAATTAATCCTGTGAAGAACGACAGTCTTGAGAGAGGAAGCTCTAGGTTTGCGCTGGCCCACAGGTGAGTTTATAGAGTGAAATGTGCACTTCTGCATTAAGGCCCTTAGTGATGGCAGCATGTGCTTCAGTGATCAGAGAAGACCGAGATCCCAGCAACTTCTGCTGGGGCTGTTTTCACAGTCAGGCCTGGCATTTTGGAAAAGCAGAGGGACAAGGAAAGGGCTCACTGCTTATGCAGCAGAGCCTGCAAGAACAGTCAGCAAGCGTCAGCCATGTGGCAAGTGAGGGCCAGATGAATGGCAGTCTTGATGCCTGCAATCAGGGTGGCAGGGATATCTTGGGGGAGAAAAGGGAGCTGGGAGCTTTTTTTTATCTTAAATAAGGAAAGAACCACAACTAGGCAAGCAGGCAGAGGGATCCCTCCACCCTGCCTTGCACGAGGGCTCAGCGTTGCCACTTACTTTCTTTGGAATCGGACGACGGGGTCATCCAGCAGGTCAGTGAAATCCAGTTTCCTCCCCTTCTCTATGACGTCTCGGTGCTTGCGCATGAAGAGCCAACCAATGTGTGCGAAGAAGAAGCCACGGCGGGCATTGTGTGGGTCCGCATCTGTCTCTGAGTACTTGTGGTGAACACGGTGGTCTCGGCTCCACTCGTAGATGTCGTTCTGCACAGAGAGCACGGTGGGGTGAGAGGAAAGAAGGCCAGGCGCTGCTCCAGCAGTACCACCTTCAGCTCCTTCCCCACACAGCAACAAGCCCCTCTCTGACATTTCTCAAAAAAAATTACGGACTGAAGACATCCTGAGGGACGTCAGCTTTGTAGCCAGCCAGCCCATGAGGCTGCTTCTGTCAGTGCCCACACAGAATGGGATGTGCTCTGGGAACTGGTGACACAGACTGGACACATCCCAGGGCTGGGGATAGCTGGAAGTCAACAGCCTCTTGGGAGTTACCATCATCAGTATCACCTGGTCTTGTGTCTTCTGAGGATGGAGAGTGGGCTGGAGGGACCACATACATACATGTTTACCTTGTTATTTTATGACCCTGCCACAGGGGAACTTGCATATTTATTTTCAGGGTACTGCTGTGCAAAGGCACTCAGTTCTGGCATCCTTTTTGTAAGCTGGTTGCAGCTGGTTACCACTGATGCTCTCCAGGCACAAATGTGGTGCGGAAAATGGGACAGAGCTTCTGAAACACTACACGTGTCTTTTCCTGACCTGAACAGGAGACGAACTTGCTCAGCACCTCCATTTAAATTACCGTTCTATCTGAGGGGATGTGTACAAGAGCATGGCCTTACAGTGCTTCAAGGGGGCCAACAGGAGAGGTGGGGAGTGACTCTTTATGAGGGAGTGTAGGGATAGGATGAAGGGTAACAGTTTTAAACTGAAAGAGGGTAGATTTAGATTAGATATTAGGAAGAAAATCTTTACTGTGAGGGTGGTGAGGCCCTGGCACAGGTTGTCCAGAAAAGCTGTGGCTGCCCCCTCCCTGGAAGGGTTCAAGGCCAGGTTGGACGGGGCTTTGGGCAACCTGGGCTAGTGGAAGGTGTCCCTGCCCATGGCGGGGGGGGGGGACTAAATATTCTTTAAGGTCACTTCCAACCCAAACCATTCTAGGATTCTGTGATTAAGATATCCAAAGGAGACATGCCTATTTTATGGGAAATCAAGACTTGCATTTGCAGCCAGGCTGAAATAAGTCTCAGACCCATAACATCAGCTCAGCAGTGGATGCAGATCAGATACACAGCAAGTTCAGTCCTGTCTGCTCAGCAGATACGGGTCACTGGAATGCCTTATGGCTGTAAACAGGATTATGGGAGTTGCAGGGAGGAAGGGATGGCCCACAATTTCAGACTTCACTCTGTACAGTGAGACTTTCTGAGTTTGCTCTGCAGGACACAGGGGCTATTGGACCAAACTAGTGATTTTTGCAGTGTTGCTGAGCTATTAGTGCAGGGCATTGTAAGCATGTACAACACTTGCAAAACTGAAGCCACACACTCATCTAATCCAAAACAGAAATGTTAGTCAATGCCCAGATCTACAACACTGCGAACTTTAATCAGAAAATGCTTAGTGGAGTGTCCTTTCCTGTGCTATTTCTATTATTGCACAGCCAGGGAGGTACATAAACAGTAATAACCAAAGGAAGGACAGGCTTGAGTTACTTTTAGGAAGAGGAGTAGCACCCACAATCACAGGAGCTCTGTGCCCAGCAGAACTGAGCAAACCATTTGCGGTGTCTGGAAAGTAACCTCAGCGCAGCAGCCATCGTGGTGCTGAATATACTGCAGGACGCCGTAAGCACAGGCTGATGACAACCGTGTATTTCTACAGCTTGTGAGACAAAAACTCTATGTCGAAAGCATCACAGAAATCATCGCTCTTTCTCTCAGCTGCTAACATTTGCGATAAACCACTGAGGCTGTCTGTGCTGCTGAGGGGACCCCAGGAACAACTGCAAAGAACAACTAAAGAATCCAGCTCAAACGCCTCCGTGTTCAATTTCAGCCTTGCAGAGATGCTCTCAGTTTGCAAGAGCCCACAAGGGACAAGTGAAGAACAAAAGCCTCAGAGCCTCAGCTCCATCGCTGTCAGCCACACTCAGCCCTGTGCTGTTGTCACGCTGTGGCTGCAGTAACTCTGGGAGCGGGCTGGGGATGAGGGGAATGTTTTTCTGCAGCACTAACTCATCGAAGCCATTGAGAGAGGGCAGTAAATATCAGCCCCTTACCAGCACTCCAGTATGTCACATCTTAACTATCCTATTGCACAAAAGAACAAAGTCAATGGAGTGAAGCAAAGGAAGTCACCAAACTCCTCAGTGATAACAAGGGGAGATCTTTACCTTGCTGCCAATTTTTTCCTGCAGAGAAATCAAAAGGAATGAAAGCCTTTCCACTGCTTCAATTGGTTTCAGCAGAAATTTCCAGAAGACTGGAAAATGCCAAGACTAAGTCATTTAAAAATAAAATGGGTTATGCAAGAAGCACACCTAGGAAAGATCCTGTTTCTTAACCAGAAATAATTTTTCAATTGAGATATTGATCAGTTTGTCACTAGAGCTATTGATAAAATTATTTGTGGGACAGCAGATAACCAGGCCAAAGCAATGGTACTGTGAGAAATTAATTTCATTTTTCATACCACAGCAAATACCTGCAGGGCTGGCAAAAAACCTAAGATTCCCCAGATGAACATGTTAGGAAGCTGTGAAACAAGTGAATTGCATCTAATTAAAACCCACAAAGGCTAAGAGAAAATAAAGGCCAGAACTGTTGGCAATAAATACACCAATAGCCAGAGTATAGCACATGTAAATATGCTCCAAGGATATTATTAATAGGAACGATTTTTCAGGAATGCATCACTTTTGATCAAATTTCAGGTAAACACAGAAGCAAAATCCCTTCCACAGCAGAGTGATGGCATCATGCTGTGACAGTGATGCAGACATGAGGTTTCCTGCAGCCCAAAACAACTGTGGCAACAAACCAGGCTATGTAACAACCTTGGTGTGCTGACGTGAATATCCATACAGCCACAACCTCAGCGGAACAACACAGTTTGTTTCACAGAGATGGCCAGGAGCAACAGTAAAGGCAGTAAAGGCAGAAAAGAGCATGTCTCAACTGAGATGCAGAAACAAACACTAGGAGATCAAGTAGACATAAGCCAAGAATTACCTATTTGTCAAACAGACATACGACAGCAAGAAGCACAGTCTTTCAAAATTGTGAGAGCTTCACTCTTGATGGAAAGAACTCCGATCATAAAAAAATGCATTGGGCAACAGGGCAAAAATAGCTGCATCTGAGGGTATTTCAAAGGAAGTGCAGCATGTCACAGCCTGTGCACCATCAAGTTAAAACTCTTCAGCAGAGCTTCCCTGGCCCTTCAAGAAGTCTGAATATTCCCTCAGTATTCAGCATCCAGGGAGGCAGTAGGTATCTCCAACACTACCTCTTTCTCCTAAAGCCAATATGAGGGACATAGACCTGAAAACTCGTTCACTGTCTGCTTATGGTGGTGAAAAAAGCCTCTAGCAGGGAACCGATGTCACAGTAATTAGAAGCAGGCTTCAGACTACTTAAAACTGGGTGATCTGGCCTTTCGGTTTGTTTCTAATACAAAGAGTACAAAGGTGGCTTGAAGCTACTTTGAAGTACTATCCTGCCTCGGAATCACACCATGTCCTCAGCCAAAAGCAGTGATGAGGCCAACGCAGCTGAGAGCAAAATCCATAGCAACAAGGGAATAGAAAGCAATGAAATCCCAACGTGCAGGCTCACTAGCAGCTCGACACATTCATTTAAATTACTTGTGAAAGATAAGATCAGCTGTAAAACAGGAGGACAGTACCAGGGGGTTCTCAAAATTCAAACTGGTTGTTTAACAGGCTGAGCAAAGAGCTCATAAAACTCTGCAAGTAATCAAGCAGCACAAAGCAGCTGGAATATGGCTCACAAGAAAGGAAGGTTATAGTCAAAATGGACACATTCCCATATTCAAGCAAAAGCATTGTGTTCTTTGTAATGTCTAGAGGGATTAACAAGATTAATTCTTTTCACCTTAGGAAAAAAAAAAAGATAAATCGGTGATGATAAATGAATAGTAGAGAAGCAGATAAAGGGACTCTTCATCCTCTGTCAAGGTACATGAATGAGAAGTCAACCAAACAGACTTAAGGGAAAAAGCTGAAAACTCAAGGCACAACACACACGTGGTGCCACAAGGGGTTATAGTAGCCAAGCTCAGTAAGTTTAATGTTCGTACAAGTTCGTATCTCTATTTTGAACAGCCAAATGAATAACTAAATCCACACCAAGAAGATCCTGATTCTGGGCTAACTCCTACCACCAGTTTGGTGTTATACAAACATTTGAGGTCTAAGATTGCCTATCAGTAAGCACAGAGCTAGTAATATGCTTCTTGCAAATGTATTTTAATTTTACTGGTGAAAAATGTTGCATAAAACAGAGATAAATTAAGATTGTGAAAGGATGCCTGCCTCCTTTCTGGGCACATCAAAATCTCCAACTGTCTGAATGGACAAAGAGACTTGATTATGCAGACATACTTGCACCAAGTTGGCCCTTACAAAAGTTTCTATGTTGTCCTGTGAAGCAAGGGCCCAACCTGTACCACAGGTAGGCTGCTGAGCCCCTGATTTGGGCATGTTCAACATGGTCCATAAGCAATTCTTGCTCCTAGACTGTCTAACGCATACTGTTATGTGGGTGGTGAGAGGGGCTCTGCATCCCCTGAGCCAGCAGAGTATGTCATCAGCAAATGTCTTTCTGCCAATATTTTTCTTTTGCTGTCTCTAAGTTGAGGGGATCCCTGCACAGGAGATGCCTGAAGGCCAAAAATCTGGATGGACAACCACAATCCAACCTGGAAAGCCATGGAGTTAGCTGTAGCCAGAAAGATCCGCAAAGGCAGTTTGGCTTTGTAGGAACGGTGGCTCCACAGGCGATGCGCACCAGCCGTCACACCCAGAGCCGACATCAGGAAGCAGAAATAAGCTGAAAGACACAAAAACAGAACACACAGGATGTGCTGGGGGCCAACTGCCATTTTTGCTTTCTTTGACGTAAAGATGATCCATGTCCCTGCCTGCTGACGCCTGCAGGATCACTCGGAAGGTGAGGCTGGGCAGACAGGATTTGAGTTCTCAGAGCCCCTCTGCCCTGTGGCCCCAGGGATGTGTCATTCAACTTCCCACCCATACCCACTTAGCCAGGGCGTCGCTCAGGAGAGTCTGGCAGCACTGAAGCACCATGTCATGACATGTTTATGCAGTGTGCCTTAGCCAAGTACAGTGGAATTAAAGCTCATCACTCATGTCAGAACAGCAGCAACAACTCTTCTAACAGGACACTGCCAGCCTCCTCTGGACAGGTCTTTGCTTGAGTCCACTCAGTCAGCAATGTCCCACCCCTCAAGATATGAGCTGTGTCAGAGTTTCCACAATCAAAACTTCTCTTATCATTGGGAGCTCGTGATTCAGTAATAAAAATGTGCCAGCAAACCGAGCATTCACCATCTCCCTCAGTTTCAGGAACTGCTTTTCCCTCCCTTAAGTAAAAAATTGGCCAAGTAAACTCATTTCAAGCATTTTTTCAGGTGGTCAACATGGCCCGGGGGCAGGTCCGGAGAAAGACTGAAGGGAAAATGTGAACAAGTATTATATAAGTATCAAATAAACTGGACCGCTTCAAACCACTCACATTCAAGCTACCCAGTTGTCGTGATATAGACTCTTATGTCTCCCTCCCATAGGTGTTAATTTCTCATACTGTGCCTAAAGACTACAGGCTCATTTTACAAGTGTGAAATTAAAACAAGGAGTGGATTCAAACAATAAGAATATTACAGGACAACCTCAAATGAGTTTGCACAGTCTGAATGATGTGCTGTTTGTTTATCCTGTCACCATACACACACAGAAGCATGTTTTGGTTAAAATAGCGTATTTCAAATTCCTAAACAGAGTTACTGGCACAAAAGGGGAAAACTCCACACACAAAAGAGTTTTCTACTTGTGTCTGTCTCTGCACAACAGTCTGTCCAGCAGGGAACCCTGTTAGACATGCAGTGGCTAGAAAGGAATCCTCAATCAGCTTTTCCCAGTACGTAATATAAACCATCTATCTTTTCAAACAGAAAACAAAAGTATGTATATGTAGGTGGGTGTCCGTGTGTCTCCATCAGCTCCCAACTCACCGTGCTTGGAACTACAGCATGTAAGAGAAAATACATATGAAGATATTTGGTAAAATAACAGCAACTCTATTTCACGTTGATTGTCACCCCTGTGGACTGAAGGAGTAAAAGGACCTTATCTGCTCCACTGGTGGATCCTTCAAAAACAGATTTACCCAGACTGTTTCCTATTACATACATGGTCCAAATTCCTGTCATCTCCTGCACAGCAAACCAAAGCCTTTTGCACAAAATTCAACAGACAAATGGAGTCAGAATGGTCCTAGTGAAGATGACTAATCTCTAAAACCCTCTCTGGACACCATCACTGCAGAGGCAATTCTCCTTTTCAGCAGGCTGCAGTGTTCAAGCTACTCCCAGAAAAGGCTCATATGTGAAGTTACGTCCAGTGCTCTGATGTCTGTCACCAAATTCAGACTTCCACCTGCTTCCCGAAAGGATGTACAGAAATGAACTGAACATCATGCATTCTCTCTGCATGTTATTTTCAGATGTTGTTGAATTTACAGATTACTCTCAGATCAGTAAAAAAGACGACACCACAACAGTCTCCACTGTTGCTGTTCTTGCACATGCCTTGTCAGTGCAAGGGCTCGGACTTCTGTGAAATTAGGGAAAACCCATCCTGTCATTTTCTGTACATAATGTTGAGCTGTGCAGAAACATCACTAAGTAAGGCCTTCCAAATCACTCAAAGGACTGTAATTGTGGAAACAGATCTGTGACAGACAGAATACTGGCATTACCCAGTTAACAAAAATATTACGGTTAAAGTCCTGAATTATTACAAGAACACATTGCCTGTGGGCTTTATGACTAGTTAACTTCATGCTAATCACAAGGGCTGAAATCTCCGATCTTCACCAGTCTCTCTGCTTCCTTAAAGCATAAAGAGGGGCCTTTCTCCGACTTCAAAGCAACAGATCGCTTAGTTGACCAAGTGCTTCTCAAGTCATCCATCCATCCTTAACCATGATCAATTGCTTAAAACCAGAATTCAAGATCAATGGGTAGAACAAGACACATGCAACATTAAGGTTGATTTTGCATTCCTTCTGTGTCCAGTGCAAGAAAGAGGTGAGTGGTAGGTAACATACAGACCACATGGAATAGCTGCACTGAATAGAAGGAATTTATGCCACTTGATGATTCAGCTCTTACAGAGCTCTGCTTAACAGAGTGCCTTTCATTCAGCCCACTCCACACCACGAGCATTGCAGCAGAATAAACAACAGTACTTGGGAGTCTGGGGGCTGCTGTAGGGTCTACATGCCACACTGTGCACATACACACATGCACCTCCCAGCATCATTCCCAATTCACACTTGCTGGGAAGCCCTGGACTACAAATGGGAGGATGATTTAGCAGAAACAAGCCGGCTCCTGCCTGTGTGGCTCAGCAAGGGGAGAGGCAGAAAGGCCAACCGACAACAAGCGCCAGACGGAGGAAATACCTTCAGAGCCTCACAGAAACATGCTGCCCTGACCAAATAGGGCTTCCCTGGGCCATGCCCACAAGCTCCATCCTCCTGCCCTCTCCAGCCCTCCAGGGATTTGCCAGCCCCAGCCACTACTGCACTGATCAAGATAAAATGGCTGGGGCTTATACCCATGGAACATGCCTATTTTTTGGCTTTACAGAGGAGGAATCCTAACAGCAGGAATCTTCCCAATAAAAATCCTGAGGGCTGAAACAACCTCAGAAACAAACAAACAAATTACTCGGGATTTTGGAGACCAGAGCAGAAACAAATCATATCAGACAAATGCACTGAACAGTGATATCATATGTTTGTGGTTCTTACGGGAATTAGGGTGCCTGAAAATATTATTCAGATACTAATTCCCAATGTATAAATAGCCAAGATGATAAATATTTTCCATGTAAAGATAGCTCTTAAGCCTTCCTTTGCAGAATAAATTATGAACTGAAACAAACACACAAACAAATCAGACTAGAAACTATTTGATTTTACATTAATTATGCACAGCTACAGTTACTACATGAGAAGAGAGCCACTGCTTACCTACCTGGTTCATTTTTGGGGAGTAGGGAGTGTGTGTGTGTGGGTTAACATCTCCACACACAAACACAAAAGGATTACACTGTGAAGCAAAGCAGCTCAGTTAATAGCAAATTCCCCTTAAACTGAAAACTCCCTCTTAGACCTGTAACTAAACAGGTCTCCTAAGTTATAAAGAGTAAAAACCATAGTTATTGCAGAAAAAGGGAAAAAAAGGAAAAACATAAGAAAAGTACCCATAAACAACCTGGAAACAGTTAATGATACAGCTTTGTTTTAATTTAGTGAGGTGTCTAATGTAAAAAGAAGAAACTGCTAAAATAGCCAGATGAGCCTTCTTCATGTTTCAGTGAGCTAACTCTGCAATCAAGATACCCCAGAGCCACTACAGAATCACAGAATCATCTAGGTTGGAAAAGACCTTGAAGATCATCTAGTCCAACCATTAAACCTAACACACAGTTCCATGGGGCTGTCCTCACTGGGAGGCGAAGCTGGCCCCAGCACTGACTGCACAGCAAGGGCTGCTTGTGAAATAAGAGGTGCTTCAGCGATAAGGAAGACAAAGGGCTGGGAGACAGGATTTGCTAGCCACAAGTCTGGGGATAGAGCACAGAGAGCTGCTGGGCAGTCAGGGCCAGTGTCTAAGAGAGCCAGGGCATGGGAGTTCTGCCAACAGTACCGTAGGCTGAGAAGCAGCTCTGCAGCCACCTAACAAAAGGTTGTCATGCTAATACCAAAGTAAAAGAAAGAAGAAAAAAAAAAAGTGGAATGAGGACTTCAAGAGGGAAAAAAAAAGAAAAAGCAAAAGCCAACAGAGTAGAAAAAAAACCTGTCTGGAGAGACCTGGGATGAGAAATGAGAACAGCCAACAAACAGATCTGTGAAAGACAGTGGGTTTAAGGCTGATATTTCTGGTGTGAAAAGCAAGCTAGAGCTGCGCAGTTCACAGTTTCATACTAAAGCCAGGGGGAGAGGAGGAAGACCCTTTCAAGCCATTTTCTGATTGTTTATTCAGTTTTGCCTTACTGACTGAAGGGAATGTGGACTGTCTGCTTCATGGAGCCACTGGCGGAGAGTCATCTTCCTGGCATGGAGCTGAAGTGTACCACTGGGCTCGGAAAACATCCCAGCACTGACTCCAAGGCTACTCATCCCAGTGCTGATGGACTCCACGGGTCTGACGTCTGCCTTATGCCTGCAGTAGGGTTCTTCTGACACATGCGGACCCCAAATCAGCTCCTTCTCAGCATCAGCTCCCAATTACCATGCTCAATGTGAGAGTTCAGATCTACTCTGTTAATGCAGATACCCATGTCAGGCACGTGCCATCCTCACATCCCTCTGCACCTTCTGGATACCATGGCATTGCATGGCAAGGAGCTCCACAGGTCTGCAGGGCCCTCTTGGGCCTTTACTCCCGCTTCTGCTATTGTGAAACTGTTTCTTTTGAAAATTTACTCAGAACAAGAGCTGAATTATCTTCCCTCACCCCTAAGATGGTGTGGGAATATGTTGCATGCCATGCCTGCTGCTCCCCAGAACAATAGCTATCTTGGCCTGGACAGGTGGTGAAGCCCCAGGTTTACGGTTTTAGAGGATTTTATCAGGCTGTGGTTTGCTTTGAATTGCTGTCTGCTCAAAGCAAAGGATCCTGATTACAGGAGCTTTAGCTTTCCGCAAGCTCTTTTCTCCCCTTTATCTGAACATGCTGGCTTTAGGACAATTTCCTAGAAATGTAGCCTCTGGACCTCCTTTTACAGTAGTGGTCACAG